GCAGGGGGTTATCCATGACAGGGGTTATCTGACAGATGCCAGAACAGTCAATGCAGCTTATTACTCAGACCTCCTGGCAACAGACATGAAGGAAAAGATCCGATCCAAGCGGAAGAGAGGTGGAAAGTGTGTAGCCTTCCTTCAAGATAATGCACGCCCCCATACGGCCAAAAGAACAATGGAAACCCTCCGGAAATTTAAATGGAACCTTCTGACACATCCGCTGTACAGTCCTGATTTGGCACCAAGTGATTTCTACCTGTTTTGAAGGCTCAAATCAGACTTGCAAGGCATGCGGTTTGTGGACGATGACACCGTCATCCAGAATGTTCGGGAGTGGATACACCGCCAACCACAAAACTTTTTTGAAAAGGGCATCAGGATGCTTCCAGAACGTTGGAAAAAATGTGTTGACTCCGGAGGGGAGTACGTTGAAGACTGACATGTGCAAGTAAGTGTTTGGCAATTTTGGTTTAAAAAAAAAATCAGTCCCAGTCATATTTGAACCACCTTGTAGTTGCAAGATCTTGTAATGCTGTACAGAACCCTCATCACACACCATTCTCCAGTTGTGAAATGTAACTTACATTAGTTATATTCACAAAGTCATGCATTACTAAGTTGCACTATTACCCTAATTACATATGTACATCTGAAAACAAGTCTAAAGCTCTATCAGATCTGAGATTCTCACAGTGGTGACTATGAATGTAATGCCAAGAAATGCAGTAGTTCACTGATGTTTCAGACGAATATACTGCCTCCATCATCAGGACCAAAGAGTAAGCTCACCCTTCTTGCCACCTGTTTTCTGCTGGTTTCCTGCTTGGCTTAGAGGCCTATGTCCCCCCCCCGCCAATAGTGGTGAACTTCTAAGGAACTACATGACATTACATCCTAGAAATTCTAAAGCTGTTAATGAATAAATGCTAAATTTAACACCTTGAAATTCCACCTTATTAAAATCGTGGTTTCAGCATATTGTGCATTCTAGACCACAAATTTATTTGGGTAGTGTGTAATGTCTTAAACATTATGAGGTAGTTATTTACTTTACTTTGGAAATGATGTACTGTTTTCTTGCAACAGCAGTTTCCTTGTATTGCAGCAAGAAATGTCATGCAACACTTGTCTATATGGGCTTCATTGTTGTTGTTGTTGTGGTTGTTGTTGTTGTTGTTGTTGTGAGACTCAGTCCGTTTGGTTCTGTGGCCACTACTGGCCTATTGTACCAGCCCCAGCTGATAGATAATGGTGACTGTGGAACAATTGGTGGACTGAAGACCAAAGTACTTGGGAGAAAATCTGCCCTAGTGCCACTTTGCCCACCACAGTGGGAAGCCAGCGACTAACCACCTGAGCTATGGCATGGCCTCCACATGGGCTTACTTGTTCATAGATTCAATACATACTGTCTCTCCTTACAACACTGAGATTTGAACATCAATGCAACAATGACAATCTGGGCTTATAGTCAGCCTGAATATGGACAGGACAGGGCTACTTAACTGTTCAGTCTATTTTGTTGTTTTGGAATAATTTACAAAATATAGAGTGTGATAATTTGTGTGTGAAACCAAGACTTGGCAATACTCTGTACTTTGCNCTTTGCCCACCACAGTGGGAAGCCAGCGACTAACCACCTGAGCTATGGCATGGCCTCCACATGGGCTTACTTGTTCATAGATTCAATACATACTGTCTCTCCTTACAACACTGAGATTTGAACATCAATACAACAATGACAATCTGGGCTTATAGTCAGCCTGAACATGGACAGGACAGGGCTACTTAACTGTTCCGTCTATTTTGCTGTTTTGGAATAATTTACAAAATATAGAGTGTGATAATTTGTCTGTGAAACCAAGACTTGGCAATACTCTGTACTTTGAAACACTGAACTGGTGTCTGGTTGCCCAGTTCACAGCATTTCCTTCTGTCTATGTTTCCCTCCTCTCTGGTTGGTTGCAACATTCACAAACATGGAACATCGTGCTGGCCTGTGTCTTCAGCTGAGTTTCACCATCTTCTGTAACCCAATTATCTCCACATGTACCAAGATAGTTGTATGTACTCACAAAGGTTTGTTTTCATTGGTAAATTATTGGGTAATTTATAACTATTAGTTTGGGCCTCCTCCAAGCGAATCACCAAGTATATGAGTAACATACTTTCATAGTGAAGATGCAAATTTTATCTCAAACTTCACATAACAATTTAGGATTTTTCTTTCAGAACTGTCAGCATTACATTTTTTTTTAGCTTAGTGGGGGTGGAGTCCAACCGGGTCCACTTGGCACAGCGGCAACATTACCTTACCGAATGGAGAATTCTAAAACATTGAGGAAGATTACCTGCAACAAAGCAGATGTGTCGGATTCATAGGTATGAAGTATAAGCAAGCAGTTACTGTAAACATTACCATAAGAGGGGCACCAATGCGTGAGTTCACGGATTACACTGTATCCTTCACTGGAGTAATGAAGGCATTCCTACAAATCAAACTCATTCCCACATCTTTCCCTTACATAAACCCAAAGTTCCCTCACCATTAATTTCCTTTTGTCTTCATCATTCTGTCAAACAGCAAATGCCATGACTAACCCAGTACAGAATTGCAAGCCAGAGGCTGCATTTAAACACATCTGAGATAGCCCATCATCTGAGGAAA